CGGCGCTGGGGCCTCTCCCCAGCTGGACGCCGCCTCCACCCCAGCCCGAGCGAGCTGGCTGCAGAAATGCAGGAAGAACCCCAGTTTCCAGAGGTGAAGGCCGGGGTCAGGCTGCAGACCCTGAAGGACGAGCGAGTGTAGGCGAGGCCCATGTCAGGGCCAGGGTCGTGCTGAACACCAGGTCCCGGGATGCAGTGGGGTGGGGTGGGAGGCGGGCCCCTTCTGAGGGAACTGGCCAGGGCTCTTCAGGAAGGGACCACTCTGTAGAGTCGCTTCTGTGTGGATTCCGGGTTTCGAGTCCAGCGGTGGACAGGGAGGGTGCAGTTGAGATCGCCTGGCCTCAGCTCAGGCGTGCTGGCCTTGACCTCTCAGAGCTCACCCTGAAACCCTAAGCCTCTTGGTCTAATTGACACCACCTGCCGTCTGTGTAGGCCCAGGGAACAGCGACATCAGATTCCTCCTTGAGTTGTTTCTTGTCTTCCTCTCCTGAGCTGGGTTGTGGAGTGGAAGGAATCAGACAGCTGGCCCTTGTGACTGCCAGAGTTAGTGGCAGACAGGGTCCGAGGGTGTGTGTCCCTAGGAGTACTGGCCCCCCACCCCCGCCCCGCACCTGTGGCCTTGGACGAGGCGGCTTGCCCTGTGTTCCCACTGGGTGGAACAGGTGGTAATAAAAGCAGTAACATCAGCGGAAGGCTCTTGGTGCTTTTCTTGCGGAGTCAAAATTCCTGGAAAGGCCCAGGAGCCAGGCGGTGCCTTCCAGTGCTGTGACCTTGCGTGTGTCACTTCCCGTTTCCCAGGCTGTTACCTCCTCGGCCCAGTGAAGCAGCGAACAAGGTCGGGATTCCTGGACAAACCCAGTCCTTGGAGACTGCAGACAGGTGGCCCAAGGTGCTGCTGTGCTGTGCAGCGCCAGCCTGAGAGGGAGAGCAGGGTTTCTAGGTCACTCTACCCCTTCCCAGAGCAACTCAGAGCTGAGCAGGAGACCAGGCAGAGAGCTGGGGAGACTGCCACAGTAACCTGGGTGCCCCAGGAGCGGGAGGGGTGGCTGTATTGGCTGAAGAGGAGGGAGTCAGCCTAGAGGACCCCAAGACCTATGGGAGGGTGTCTGGGTGCGCAACCAAAGAGTCTAGTAGTCATTGATGGACACATAGGGCCTACCGTTTTGGGGGACTGCTTCAAAGGTCCCTCAAACCCTTCTTGTGTCTGATGTGCACTGGCGCTGTGCCTGGTGGTCACACCTCTAAGCACGAAGAGCCCCCAGGACTGGGGTGGTCACCCCACACTAACAGCTTAGAGTTCCCTGACAGGAATGCCACCTGCTCCATTGACTCCATTCTTTGGCTTTGGTGGGGCCAGGACATGATCTGTCCTGAAGGCTGCTCAGTCAGTCTCTAATTGGCTAGGGTCTCTCGGCTCCAGATGCATGGGGTACCTTGTCCTGAGGACCCCAGTTATCCGTCTGGGGAACTTCAGCTCCAGGGGAGGGGCAGGGGTACCCTCTGGGTGGAGCCATAGGAGTCAGCGCCTGTCCTTGTGGAGTAGAATGAGCTGTTCTGTGCCCAAGGGCCTGGGGGCCTGCGAGCTTCCCTGGTGGCTCCTGCCTTGGCTTTTTGCTTTTTCCCCTTGAACTGCACACCAGTGGCTTTCCTCCTGTGGTGAGGGGGGAGGCCTGGCCTTACCGTAGATGACACCGGGGACCTAAGAGACTTGCAGTGAAGTCCTGCCCCAGGGCCCACCGCTCAGAGCCATGGGCTCCCAAGCTGCTGCGTACGCTCTGTGCTGGGCAGTGCAGGGGATCCCAGGTGGTGCCATGGGGCTCAAGCTGGACTTCATAGCTGTGGGGGGAAGAGAGGCAGGTGGGGAGATGTGGCTCCAGCTCTGGGGTGCAGTGACAGTACCATGGCCACCCCAGGCTGGATCTTGGCCTCCTCGGCTCCGAGGCAGGGCAGTACTGGTATTCACTGGCTGCTCCTTCGCCATGTCTGTCCTGAGGGGCTGGGGCCATCACTCGGGACCTGCTGTAAGCAGGGGTCCCCACTGCCCTCAGCATAAGCTCCTCTGGTTTCCTAACTGCCCCTGAGGTGCATGCTGGAGAGGCTGCCCACTGCCTTCTGTCGGGCCCGGTGGCTTAGCGGATCAGGCCAGGGCTTATGTGCTTAGTGAGCCCTGGGATCAGGGCCTGCAGCGGGGTGGGAGAGCAGGCGGAGGGGCACTCCCCGGGGCACCAGGGCTGGCCCTGTGCGGCGGGCCTTTTGCTGTTGAAACATCGCTTTCATAAGCAGTTGCAGGCGCCTCAGAGGAGTGGAAGGTACAGAGCATTCTCGTGCCCCCCCAGCCGCCTCTGTCAACATCCCGATCAGTGCCTGTAACCATCCAGAGTCCACTGCGGCCTCCCGGAAGCTTTTGTTTGGTTTTGGCAGTTCCCAGGTCCTCTGGTTTGAGAAGAGCAGTCAGCTCTGCAGGTGTGGGGACAGCTGCTGGTCAGGGGCCCCTGCCATCAGGGATCTGCCCCACTTCGGGCACCAGGAAGCTGGGTGACGTTGGCAAAGTCTTATGGAGCAGGGGTGGTGGCTGCAGCTGAGACCAAGCTTTGCGCGTCTGTCTAACCTGGCCAAGCAACCTGAGGTGATACTGGCCACTTGCTCCTGTCCTGCAACGGGACCAGAGAGCCCTCACTGCTTCCAGCTATGTCTGAGCAGAGCACAGGAGGTGTGCAGGACAGGCGGTGCTGGCTGGGCCCTGCAGATGGGTCCCCAAGACCCTCTCCCCAAGGCTGGATTGAAGTCTGTGTGTGGGTGTAGCCCAGCAGCCAGGGAGCCTTGAGAAGAGGAGATGAAGGAGGGGTATGGGGCTCAGGGGTGGCAAGAGATGGAGGATTTGTCATCTAGTCGGGCGCCTGGGCAGTCCAGAGAGGGTAGAGCAGCCGCCGCCTGATGCCTGAGCTGTCCCTGCCTCTGAGTCCTGCTCTGGGGCCCGCCAGTGGCTTCCTTCTCTGGATTGCTTTATTCTAGACTTTCTTAGAGGCAGCATCTGACACTAGGGCTCGGTGCTCGACCTCTGCAGTGGATCCTTTCAAGGCTGCACTCACTGGACAGACTTCCTGCCGGCTGACACTGACACTTGGCGCCCCCGCTTTGGGGCTCTTGTGACTGTCCTGGCCCAGCCGCTGGGTGCCTCCCCACCCGGGTGCGTGTCGCCTTCCCCGCTGTGCGGGCCTGGTGCCCGGCGGGGTGCTCCAGCAGTGGTGTCTCCCCTGGGCTGTGTGCTCTTCTCGTGGCTGCCTGCATGCTGTCGAGCGCAGCAGCACTCAGGGCCCGTGCCCAGCTCTCAGTGGGCTGCTGGACCTGCATGGTTTGTGCTGAGACAGTGTTGGTCCTGCTGTGGGAGGTGCAGCTGAGTTGCAGCAGCATCTGGCAGCAGGAAGGGTCAGGTGTCTGTCAGCGACAGGTGGCCAGGGGCACAGGCTGTGGGAGGGAGGGTCCCGAGGAGCCTCAGGGATTGGTGCTGCTTCTCAGCCTGCACCCAGCCCCAGTGCTGCCTGGAGAGCAGGGTGGGAGGAGGGGAGATTGGCAGCCGAAGAAAGGGGATAATTGGCGGGCAGGTATCCAGGGGGTGGGCGGTTCTAATAACAACAATAATAACAATAATTCGCCTCGGTTTTAATAGAGCTGAGAGGGAGTGCTAATTGGATTGCTCAAGGGCCCCTCTGGGTGGCTCTGCGGGGAGGTCAGCGGGGTGGCCGGGACCAGCTCCAGCTGGAGCAGCCGGTGGCCCTGACTCACCTGGGTGATCAGATCACGCTGAGGCTGCCATGAGGTCCCCCTGAGGTGCCCACCCTACGCCTGCTACGAAGGCCTGGGAGTAGGTGCAGGGAACACAGGCTGGGACATGCGGCTCGGTAGCTGTGAGGGTCACGTGGGTGAGCAGTCTCAGCAGTCTCAGCCTCGCAGGAGCCCCACTGCTCCCCACCGGGGTCTGTCCTGATCCTCACAACTAAGCTGGCACCTCCTGGTGCCAGTCCTGGCTGGCAGTGGGTGTCAGAGGCTCCAGTTCCCAGTGCTGCTGCGCAGAGAGCGGCGGAAGTGTCCTGCGAGGCCCAGTGCACAGTGTCATGTCACCGCCGGGTCAGGGTCTCGGGCGCGGCTTAGCAGTGAGCCTAGAGGCCCCATCCTCCCCGCAGGGCCCGTGCGGCGCTCTCAGCCCATGGGCGAGTGCATCTCCCTGTGTGGGGAGTCAGCAAGCCGTCTGCAGAGCCAGGTGGTCAGCAGCGGACGTGCGGGGCTGTGGACCACTGGGCAGCCCCGGACCGCCAGCACTCCCCGCGCCCTGCTGCGCTCCCGGGCCAGCGTCCGGTGATGGGCAGGCCTGTGTGCTGCCCTCTGCCCCAGCCGCAGGAAGCCAAGCTTGAGGCCTGGGCGACTCCGGCCAGGAAGCCCCTGTGCTTGGGAGCCAGGCTGATTGTTGCAGTGCAAACGTTATCACCCTTGGCAGAGGAAGCAAAGGCGGAAGACACCTCTCCCTCCAACCTCGCCCCTGGCTGTGCCTGGCATGGGCTCGTCTGTGTTTACCTCATGCATTTTAAATGTGTGTGGTATTGTAACATTTTAGAAGTTCGCTTTCCTTTAAAGATACTTGCATCCGAAAGCGTGCTTTTTTGAAGTGCCCTGTGCAGGGGTTTCAGTGCAGCCAGCCTTGAAGTTGCGTAGCCATTGCCGCCGTCCAGCCCAGACATCTTCGTCACCCCTGAGAAACCCCTGCCTGCTAGGTAGCTCATTCCTCCCCACCCCAGCCTGGGGCAGCCATCAGTCTGCCTCCTGCCCAGGCCTGACCTGGGGGCACCTGGCGCTCCTGTGTCGCGTGTGTCTCCCGGGGTTGCTGGCTTGGACACTCGGTGTCATCTGACGACTGTGTGTCTGGGTGGCCTAAGAAGCGAGTCCTCGTGAGGCAGATTAGCAGAGGAGTGTGCGCATCTTACTCTAACTGGAGAATGGCAGGCGTCCTGGAAGGTGGCCCTCAGCACAGTCTGGCCTGGGCTGCGGGGGGCAGTGGCTGTGTGGCCGGGCTTTGCTGGCCAGCCTGCTTCCTTCCTCCAGAGCCTTTGTGCAGGCAGCCGCCTCGGCGGCTCCTGGTCGGGGCCTCATTCCCAGCGGGGTCTCTAGGTCCTACCAGCCAGTGCAGCAGGCTGAGGCAGGAGGACCAAAAGTTCTGGCCCAGCCTGGTCAGTTTAGCAATTTACTTATTTTTAAAGATTTACTTATTTGTTTGCTACAGGGTCTCACTGTGCAGCTTAGACTCACCATGATCCTTCTGTCTCAGCCTCCCCAGTGCCTGGATTACAGGCACGCACCATCACCATGCCTTGTTTCAGTGGCCGGCATGGCATGGCGCGGTGCAGGGCTGGCATAGCTTGTGGTACTGGGGATTGAACGTGGGTCCTTCTGCTTGCCAGGCAGGCACTTAGACCACTGAGCTATCTCCTTGGCCCTGGTTTAGCAATTTAGCTAAGGTCTTGTTTCCAAATAAAAGAAAAGAAAGGGCTGCGGATGGAGCTCAGTGCAAAAGCCATGGGCTCAGTCTTGTTGCTTGGGGGTGTGTGTGGGGGAATGTCTTGCTCTGCTGTGTAGATAAGGCCACAGAAGAGGTGCCCTGCGGTGCCAGCTCCTGACCTGTGCCCGGGTAGGGTCTGTGGGTAGGCAGAGCCAGTCTGTGGGGTACCAGCCTCCGCCTCTGGGGCAGGTCCCTGGTTGGCCTCCCCCCTCCCCTCTGGGGATGGACCTTGCTGGGACCTGTGGGTGTTTGGGTTGCCACTGGGTCAGGATTAATCCCGAGCTGCACTCTATGGGGCAGCACCATGGAGGGTGCCCAGGGCGCAACAGGAACTAGCAGGTGGGGGAGATGCGGGCTGACTTGCCTGGACTGGCTAGGCCAGAGGGTGCCCCAGAGGCCAGCTCGTGGTGGTGCTGTGAGTCTGTGGGCTGTGGAGGTGGGCAGCTTTATGGCCCTCAGCCCAGTCTACCTGGGACTCTGGAGTCTAGAAAGCCACCTTGGTCCCCAGTGCCTGAGTCCCATGCCCCCAACAGCAGGGCTGTCTGGACATCCGTACCCCTGTAGGGAGGGCCTTGCAGGCTGGGTCATGTGCCAGGCCTGCCTTGTCCCAGAGAATGGAGCAAAGGCTTCTCATGGGACTGGTAATGTGCTTGGGCTCCGCAGCTCACGTTCAGGCCCTCCTGTCCCTGAGAGGACACAGGCATGGCGTGGGGTCACTCACCCTGGGCCCCGTCCAAGCTGCGCCCCACACTGTTGCTGTTCTTCAGCAGCTGCAAGAATGGGCTTCACACAGCGTTGCCTTTTCTAGTCCTGTCCCATCTGTGACCCATGACCCCTGTCCTGTGTCTTGGCCTCTTCTGCAGGGACCCAGACATGGAGCTGCGGGAAGAGGCCTGGTCTCCGGGGCCGCTGGACTCCGAGGACCAGCAAATGGCCAGTCACGAGAACCCAGGTGAGGTGGCCACCGCCCTCCTGCTTGGGGCCCTCTATCTGGGCCTCCCACCCTCTCCCCAGTCAGGACAGTACCCTGCCGTTCTCCCTAGCCAACATGCTTTCGACCAGGACACCAGGGGTCCACGTGGAGGCACTGGGTACGTGGTGAGGTGGGAACTCGAGACTTGCACTCATTTCGGGGCAGTGACGTCCCCCTGGGCTGCTGTGTTAACAAGGCACTGCTTCACTGGTGAAACCCACCTGGGGGCTGCGGGCCACGCCTGCAGCCCTGTCGCCCCCCTCCCTCCTCCAAGGTGGTGCTGCCCAAGGAGAAGAAGGCCACTCGAGGCAGTAGGCTGCTGTATGCTACCTGGGCAGGTGGCCTTGCCTGGGGCACAGCTTTTGTGACAGTACCTGCCTGGTACCCTCATCTTGCTGCTGGGCCTCCATACAGGGACATGGATGCTACATCTGCTCCCGTAGACCACGGTGACTGTCCACACTCCTGCCCCTGGCTCATCCTGACGCCAGGCAGCTGGCCTCCAAGGCCGTTTCCCAACGTTCTTGAAGCTTGGAACTTTTGTACTTTTGGTCTTGCTTCAGTATTTCCAGAGCATGCACCCTGATTGCCCAGGCCAGCACTGTCACTGAGGTGGACTCTGGGCGCCCTGTGTCACTGCAGCCCCACCTGTGGAGTTGGAGCCCAAGGCCGCCGCCTTGCTCAGCCCCACTTCCATGGCGCTTGGTAGCCCGCAGGGCCTGGTGGGAGCGGCAGTGGTGCTGATGGTGTCCGGGCTCTGGGATGTCCACAGAAACAGCAGGCTGTGTCTGCCCGAGGCGCGATCCCAGCCAGGGTCCGAGGGGCCTCACAGGACAGTGGCCTCCTGCCACGCAGCACCGGCCTGGGATCACCCAGGAGCTCTGCCATCTCCCTGATCCCCATGTCCTGAACTGCATTGCAGCACCCCATGGGCTCTGGGCCGGGCAGGGTCCTTCCCAGGCGTGGGGAGAGTGGAGGTCCTGCCGCAGACAGGGCGCCTGGCTCCCTGCCCCAGAAGTGCAGGAAGCTTTTCCACAAAGCAAGCCATGGAAACACCAAGGTGGGGCCCAGGGGCAAACAGCAGGAAAGAGAAGAACAGCCAGAGCCGGGGGCAAGGGTCAGCTCTGTGTGCGAGGCCGGCGGAAGTGGGGTGCACAGACTGCACCTTACGAGGAATTGAAGTGATGCGGAAGGTGGTTGTCACAGGAAGCGGAAACCAGCAGACAGGAAGGAATGCTGAGGGCAGGCAGAGGAAGGCCTCACGCGCGAGGAGAAGCTCGGAGCAGAAGAGCAGGCCGGACGGAGACCCTCCAGGATCACGCACACTCCGAGAGCACCCAGGGCTCCTGTTCTAGCACTGTGGGAGGCCGAGGCAGGAGGATCGAGAGTTTGAGCCCAGCAGGGCCAGCGTGTGTGAAGCGTGGGTCTGGGGCCTCGTCCTGCCTGTGTCTGCTCAGGGGAAGCACTGCTGGCTGGACATGGGGAGGTCAGGCAGGCCCCCCTTCACATCCCTGGCCTCATGGGTGCGGCCCGTGCCCGCCAGGTGCTCCTGGAGCCCAGGGTGCAGTGCTTCACTTTGTCCACAATGTTGAGGAGACGTTTGTAGTGAGGGGAGTGTGAACCGTGCAGGTTGTCCATGCGGCAGGCAGGCTCGGCCTCGCGCCCTCCTGGGCCTGGAGAGCTCGCCCTTGATGGCTCGTGGTTCACTCTCTGCCTCTAGGTCCTGCGCTTCTGACTTACAACTTTTGTTTCCTTTCTTACTTTGGTACTGGAGATTGAACTCAGGGCTTTTGTACTTTTAAATTTTGAGCTAAGTTGCCAAACTAGTCTTGAACTTGTGATGCTTTTGTCGCAGCCTCCCAGGGCGCTGGGATGAGTGGTGCGGGCACAGCTGGCTTGGTTCCTGGGAGCCAACAGGGAGCCAGCTCTGCCGCAGTGCCCCTCCCCACCGTCCTCTTTAACAGTAACCCTGAAGGGTGGCGTCCTCAAGCCTGGGGTGGGGTTGTGGGAGGGCGAGTCCACCAGGAGCTGTGCCCCTGGGAGCCTGCCCAGATGGCGCTCTGCTGGAGCAGTGCACGTGGGCACCCTGCTGGGCTGCTTGCTGACCCTGCACCCTGGGCCTCCGGGTGCAGGGCTTCGCCCCAGAGCGACCAGTGCACAGCGGCACCTCACAAGGGTTTGATGTGCGGATGCTCGGTGGTCCTCCCAGTGTCACCTGTCTCTGGTGGCCCAGGGCACTTGTACTGGGAAGCTCTGCAGGGAATGAAGACCTGGTCGGTGTGATGGTATTCTTGCTCTAGACAGAGCCTTCAGGGTGGGGAGCATGTGGGATGGAGGCTGCAGACCGAGGCTGTGCCCTGATGGCCAGGGCCTGCTGTGGTGCCCAGACCTGAAGCCAGGACTGCGCTCCGCAGCCGGCGCGCCCAGCAGAGGCTTGGCGATCAGCACGCGCCTGCCTGCACGGTGTGCTGCGCTGCGCAGAGGGTGCGAGGGCGCAGCCCCTTCCTGTCTTTGATGTGCTCCTCCTGGGCCTGTCAGAGATGGGTCTGCTGTGGAGCTCGGCCAGTGGGGAGCCTCTCGGAGCCCTGGGCAGCCCTGCACCAAGCCCCTGACCTGCCCTTTTCCCTTGCTTTCCAGTGGACATCCTCATCATGGATGAGGATGACGTCCCCAGCTGGCCCCCCACCAAGCTGTCCCCGCCTCCAACAGCGCCCCCTGCGGGGCCCCCACCCCGGCCGCGCCCACCAGCACCCTACATCTGCAATGAGTGTGGCAAGAGCTTTAGCCACTGGTCGAAGCTGACGCGCCACCAGCGCACGCACACGGGCGAGCGGCCGAACGCGTGCACCGACTGCGGCAAGACCTTCTCGCAGAGCTCTCACCTGGTGCAGCACCGCCGCATCCACACGGGCGAGAAGCCCTACGCCTGCTCCGAGTGCGGCAAGCGCTTCAGCTGGAGCTCCAACCTCATGCAGCACCAGCGCATCCACACGGGCGAGAAGCCCTACGCCTGCCCCGACTGCGGCCGGAGCTTCACGCAGAGCAAGAGCCTGGCCAAGCACCGGCGCTCTCACAGCGGCCTCAAGCCCTTTGTATGCCCGCGCTGTGGCCGCGGCTTCAGCCAGCCCAAGAGTCTGGCCCGCCACCTGCGGCTGCACCCTGAGCTCGCGGGCCCCGGCGTGGCGGCGCGCGTGCTGGCAGCCTCCGTGCGGCGAGCCCAGGCGCCTGAGGCGGCAGCGGCTGCAGACGGCGAGATCGCCATCCCGGTGGGCGACGGCGAGGGCATCATCGTGGTGGGCGCCCCGGGCGAGGGCGCGGGCGCGGCGGCTGTGGCCGTGGGTGGTGGAGGTGCCCGGGCTGCAGGGGCGCCAAGGTCTCGCCGAGCGCCTGCGCCTAAGCCCTACCTGTGCGCGGAGTGTGGGAAGGGCTTTGGCCACGCAGCGGGGCTGCTGGCGCACCAGCGCGCGCAGCATGGCGACGGCCCAGGCGCCGCAGGCGGCGAGGAGCCTGCGCACATCTGCGTGGAGTGTGGTGAGGGCTTTGTGCAGGGCGCAGCCCTGCGCAGGCACAAGCGCGTACACGCAGTGGGTGCCCCCACGATCTGCGGCGGCTGTGGACAGAGCTTCTATGGCGCAGGTGGCGAGGACGCAGATGCGGACGCCGAGGACGGTGCGCCCCGCTGCCCTGAGTGTCGTACTGGGGATGCCCGGTAGGGCCGGGGGTGCCCGGGGGCAGAGGGGACCCTCGGGCTGGTGTAGCAGATGAGGCCGGAGACTAGAGAGACGGACCCAGGGCTGCGGTGGGCGAGGGCACCTGCCTGCCACAGCTGGAGACCACCTCGCTGGAGGCTGGCGGAACCGAGGGAAGAGGAAGGGGCCTTCCCCTCCCAGATTTTCTTTTAATCATATCCACCTTGTTGACCCTGTCCTCCATTCTTTTTCCTTCCCTGCGCGTCTTATCGATTTTCTGGCCCAAGTCATCCTCCCCTCCTGGATTTGGGGTGTGCCGGGAGGGAAGCAGAACTAGCGCTTTCTCCCAGAGTGGCCTCCATTCCAGGCAGGGGCCCTGACTGAGCGTGGTAGGCGAGGGTGCGTGACAATAAATGGCACTATTGGTTGTCCTTGGTGTGTGTTTCTTGCACTGGGGTGGGGTGAAGGGCAGCAGCCAGGTTGGTACTGGCCAGCCCTGAGTGTGCGTACTCGGTGCTCACACACGGGCAGTGGGCACGCGAGCCAGGAGTCAAACCAGGCCTTGGAAGCGTTACCACCTGTTGGGCCCTTCCCCAGATGCCAGGCAAAGCACATTTGCTGCCGCGTCCTGGCCAGAGGGCAGTGGTGCAGCAGAGGAATTGCCCACTGCTGTCCCTTTGGTGCAGGGGTGTGCTGCTATTGGGTGGCTTCACGCCTTGACTCAAGTCCCACCTCCTGCAGGCTGAGGTGAACTCGGTGAACGCAGCGGGCACCTCTGCCTGCTCCTCTGGGTGACCTACCTCGTGATCCCAGCAGCCAGTTTCTGCCTGTCGTGAGGGAGACCAGCTGCCAAGGGCTGTACAGGTGTGGGGGTGGGGATGGTCTGGGTGGAGGTGTCTTGTGAGGTGCTTCTGAGGTCAGGGAGCTGGTAGGTGAGAGGCAAAGGGCAGAGACCCCCACCGTGTTCTGGTCTGAACTGTGTGCTCTGGGAACGCCCATCCCACCAGCCCAGGGTCCTACGGTGTCTGGAGTGTGCAGGTTGCGGAGAATACTCATGCTTGAGGAAAACAGGTGCTGTGATTTGGAACCTTGGGGCAGGCTGTAAAAGGACAGTGGCTCCTGGTGCACGCGCTCAGCTGGCTGACAGAACCTCAGAGCAGAGCCCCTGGGGGATGTGGGTCACAGCGGGCTTCTGCACCTTGGAGCAGGGCTGAGCCCCTGCTGCATTGCACGGGTGTCTGTGCACGTGTGTGTGCGCACTGTGGGTGGGTGGCGGTTGGCGCCCGTCCTGCTGACGACTTCCCCGCCTGCCTCTGGGCCTCTGTGCTCCTGCCGGATGGTCACCCCGCAGAACCGTCAGCACCACGGACAGAGCCCGGGGCCAGCAACTGTGAAGGAGGCAGCAGACCCGAGGCCTAGCACCATCCCTTGGGGGCTGGACTCGGGGCTGCCGGCTGGTGTGGCACAGGCCAGGAGTGGGGCCAGGAATTAGTGTCTGGCCGGTTATTCTTCCCTTTGTGAGTAGTGGGTGCCCAGAGGGAAATGTTGCTTACGAGGCCCTCAGCCTCCCCTCCTCGGCAGACTTCAAGGTGCGTGGTGAACACATGCGAGGATGCTCCGATGCTGTCCGGCACCTCCCACCCCTCCAGTGTCCTCCTCAGCCATGGTCCCAGCCAGCTGTGTGCCTGCGGGTGGGGACAGCAGTTTAATGAGCACAGCCATGAGCCTGGGGCTGTGCAGACAGCGTCACGTTCACTGCACCGAGCAGCCGAGTGGTGAGCGGCTCAGCGCAGCCTCCTCCTCACGCTGACACAGGAGCAGGCCTGGGGTGGAGAGGTGGCCTCGCTGCACCACAGAATGTCACTGAGCTGGGCGAAGGAGCTAGGCAGCCACACGGGCCCAGCAGGGCCTGGCCCCACAGACAGATAGCTGCCACCTCAGGGACAGAAGCAAAACACAGGGGACCCTCCGAGGCTGTGCCCCGGCGAGGGTGGCGTGTAGCAGCAGATAACAGTGAGCAAAGATAAACCCTCACAAAAAGACCAAGTGCATAGGAACAAGAAAGCTTTTATTGCAAGCTCAGGCTGACTGAGGCCCTGGCTTTGGGTCAGGACTTCCAGAGGTGTTGGTACTCACCTGAGCTTTGTTGTTAGGTTGCCTACTTTGCTGGTTTCCATAGTAAGCACATTACCTCACTTTCAGGGATTTTACAAGAATGTCGCACAGTTGCCACACAGCTTACATTTCCAGACATCGTGGACCCATTCTCTGTCCTGGGGCATTTTAGTTGCCTGTTTACCTATTCCCCAAGTTGTTCTCTTTGATGTCCCTGGTTTTCTCCAAGTGGGTTTATGGTTAGCTGCATGGAAGGGGTGAGGGGGTGAGCTTGTCTCCAGCTGAAGTGACTTAAGTGACCCTCCTTAAAAAGGAGTCTCTTTGGCCCCATCAGGGAGCTCCTGGGGTCTGGTCAGGGACATCCCCAGTGTCCTCAGGTCTGGGAACACTATTGGCTGTCACCACCGGTTGGAGGGGACTGCTGTGATGAGCTCTCATCCCTCTCTGTGTGTGCATGGCACTCTGTCGCCACCTAGCGCACAGCAGGACACGCAGGCGCCTCAGCCTCCCGCAGGTCGACCCTGCAATTCTCATCCAGGTGGCCAAGGCCGTGTGGCCAGCCACCGCCACTGTTGTCACTTGGCTGCATGCCTCATACACGCACATCACCCACCTTGGCCTAGGAAGGGCAGGCAGGGGGTGGGAAGGGGGAGAACAGGCCCTGGTCTTCCCAGGGAAGGGTCGCCTGCCCACAGGACTCAGCAGGGCCCCACCAGCTCCAGCGCCACAACCGGGAGCCTGTCCTTTGAGGTGTGTTCCCCAGGCAGCCAAGCCCTTGCTGCCCAGAGGGGAAAGAATTCCTGTCGGCTTCCCGCCAGTCCAGGGAAGCTGAGGCAGGGGGTGCACCAGGCTTCAGGGCAGGGCCACCGCCTGGAACCTGCTCCTACTGCATGCAGCCTGGGTAAGCCAGGGCCTCCAGAGACAGGACCAGCAGCATGCCATGGCTGTGTGCATCGGGTCGCTGGGAGCTGGCAGCACTGTCTCAGGCCATGGCGGGACAGCCTCAGCTTCCCTGGTAGTCGAGCTTGCGCCACCATGCCTGGCCGGTAGGGGGTGTCATTAGCTTTACATGAGTTATACCCCGACCTGACTAGGAAATATACAGCAGCGTGGAAAAGTGAGCTTTTCAGACCCAGGGGTGGAAACAGCATCCGGGTTCACCTGTTGCTTTATCTCTCCTTTGCCGTCTGAACCCAGGCAGTGCCGTTATCCCTGTGGGATGGGACATGCAGGGGCTGCTGTCCTCTTGTGCTGTCTGCCCAAGCCCAGTGCTCAGCGGTCCAGGATTTCACTGAGCGCTCTTTCCCTCCCTTGTTGGCACTTCCACAGTTTGGAACTGGATGTGAACTAAGCAGAGAGGTGGAAACCAAGGGGCCGGGGCCACACTCGAGTCTTCAGGCTCCCCACGGCCTTCCAGAACAGCCTCCCTGGTGTGGACAGTGATGCCGAGTGTGGCCAGGCAGGGGTCATGGGGAAGCAGGGACCCCCAGCAAGGGTGCCACACCCTAATGTCCTGCTGGGGGGCAGAGGTGGCAGCTCCCCCAGGACACAGTCACAGGAGCAGGCAGTCACCTATGCATTACCTGGGCCAGCCCAGGACACAGGCTACAGGATGGAGAAAGGGACATGAGGTCCCAAGGATGCAGAGCACAGGTCTTCCCACGGGGTGGCAGGGTCTGCGGGGCCCCCAGGGGTGCTACTGGGACGTGGGTGTTCCTGGTAGGAAGCTGGGTTGATGGGGGTGGCCTGGGGGCCCTGAGCACCCGGCCACCCTGCTCCTCCTTGCTGCAGACCCCATAGCAGTGGGGCCCATCTAGGCCAGAAAGCTCCCAGCCCAGGCCAGCAGCGCCCAGGGGGTGGCTTGGGTCAGTCCCGGCCAGAGAGCAGGGACCTGTTGCTTCAGGCACCGGGGACAGCTGGTGTTTCCTGAGCCTCCAAGACCCTGGACTTGAGGGGTAGACACAAATGCCAGCTCCTCCAAGACCCTCCCTGGGAAGCCTGCCAGCCCTGTTGCTCACAGACCCTGCCGGACAGATCCCACTGCACGGAGCACCTCTTCTGCTCAGCTGTACAGTGTGGAGGTCAGCGCCGTCATTTGATACACAGAAAAGTGCTGGAAGCCAGTGGCTGTCACCCCATGTCAGAGGTCCAAGTGCTCCCAGGTTCTGCTGCTGCCCCCCCCACTCTCCATCTGCTGGGTGTTTATTCCCTCTATGCTTGGAGGTGGGACAGAAATGTCACAGAGAACCAAGGTTCTGTGTCCGTGGGATCATGGGTGCAGGGGCCACGTCACACACATATACACAGTACCAGTGTCTAGCCACGACAGCTGGCCGTGCACCTCCCTGTGCCAGGCAAGGCAGAGACAGCTTCCCAGGGGGTTGGCCCAGGAGGCCAGGGCAGGGTGGGGCTCTGGTACCCACAGGCTCCACATCTGTGGCTGCCACACACCAGCATCTGCTTTATTAGGTTTTTCCTGTAATCTGGAGATAAAGCCCATGGGAGGATGGCTTGGGTTGGCTGCAAAGTGGGGCCCTTTTCCATACGGGACTTGAACTTTGTGGACTCTGGCTAGCCAGGAGTCACTCCGCTATGGATGCCGGGACGTTGCTCAGGGAGGCCCATTCTTGGAACAGTTCCCACACCCTCTGCTGCCCGGGACTCTGTGAGCAGTACCACACCGCTAGAAAGCACTGAGAGGCTGAGGCAGACGGATCACAAGTTCAAGCCCAGCCGGGAACAAAGCAATTCAGCAAGGCCCTGCCTCAAAATAAAAAAATAAGGGGGGGGGGGCACAGCTCATGGTGAAGGCTCTGTGTTCTACCCCCAGCACTATCACTAAACAAAACAAAAATAACAAGAACACTGCCCCCCACCCCCCACCAGTCAGACCCACACCGCCTCTGCAGAGGACAGCTGGCTCCCAGGGCAGCCTTGCCCAGGCTCAGGACAAGTGCAGGCACCTCTGGCTCCTGGCGAGGACAGAGGCCCGGCGTGGCTACGCAGGGGAGAGCCCACAGTGCCCAGAAGCCGAGGGGCCCTGGGGTCTCAAGCACCCAGCGAGTGATCGGGCTCCGCAGCAAGGAGGGATGCTGCGGGATGCTGCGGCCCATGAGGCCGACCCCACCCCGCCCCAGGTCTGGAACAGAGGAAGCACACCGCCTGCCAACCTTGCAGGCCTCACAGAGGACCTCACCCCCGGGACTTCAGGGATGGGGCCACTGGGTGCGTCCCGGCTCCACCCACGGCGGCGGGTCCGCATGCGGCGGCGGGCGCCGCTTCGGCCGCGCGGCGCTCCAGCTGGGGGTCTGCTGCCAGGCGGACCGCCCCTGCCCGCAGCTCCGGTCCTCACCCAGGCTCTGGAGTGACCCCTCTTTGCAGCAGGCCGAGCTGCTTGCCCTGAACTGCCTGCCCTTCCCAGGGCCAAGGACGCCTACGTCCACCCTCGCTCGCCGGCCTGCAGAGCTCCCGAGGGCCGCCGCACACATCCACGCGGCCCAGCTGCCGGACTCACAAGTCCGACGTTGACGCCCACTTTCCCATTAAGCAAGTCGCTTAACTTCCGTCTAACCGAGTTTACCCTAGAGAAGAGGTCGGGAACTGCGCGACCAACCCCAAGGGGCCTGGAAACAGCTGGACTACATTTCCCAGTGTGCCTTGCAGCAGACCTGGAAGGAGTTCGACTGAGAACCGGGAAAGGGAAGTCCTGGAAATCACTTCGCTTTAGCAAGCGTCCGTTTCTGCCCA